TTTCAAGTATTCCTAACGTCTTTGGAAATATTAACCAATTACTTTACGAAACCGTATATAGGAAGTTTCAATGTCAACGTAGTGACGATTTTGTCATTCTATGAATTGACAAACAGAACCTGTACAGTGATTGCAGTGTCAACAATGCAATTACATATACTCCATTGTGTTTAACAGTAACAAAATGATTGTGTGTCACGAAGCAAGTTTTAAATGTCAATATACAGTATGAGAATACCTGAATATGACAAATAGCTTACCTCAGTTAGCATTACGGCGAAACTGCTAATAAATATTAGTTGCTTGACTGAATAGGACTTCACTGCAGCTTTATTTATCACAGAACTAACACCAAGAACTGTCCGTTTTCCGTGAACATCAGCAAGGTACTGAGTAAAAACACTCAGCCACGTGCGTTGAACCACTACTTCCCACGCAGCCAATCACAGCGCCATTTAGAGCCGCCAATCACCGCGTTAGCTCCAGCGCCAATGCGTCGTGTTGGTCAGTTTCTCGTCGTTTTCTTGTTTTGCGCTGAACAATGCGTTTGTTGGGCGATATCAAAGAGGATAGTAGTAGGTTCTTCAAACGTTTTTTTTTATCACGAGCCTGTTTCATTTCGTACAGTGCCTTTACGGCTCAAGGTATCCATTCTTGTGACTTTTTCTCTCAACCCGATATCATTATTATATATATATATATATATATATATATATATATATATATATATATATATATATATGTGTGTGTGTGTGTGTGTGTGTGTGTGTGTGTGTGTGTGATATATCACACACACACACACACACACACACACACACACACACACACACACACACATATATATATATATATATATATATATATATATATATGGCGATCCGTACTTTAAAGAACCCTGGGATAGTTTACTCCAACGTGGAATGACATAACTTCATTGTAATGAGATGATGAGAAAATATCCTTCGAACGCCTGCAATTCTATCTTTTGGTTTACTAACCGAGGGAAGCTAGGTTCTGATACCAGTGCCTGGGCATGTCTACTCCTCTGTAAAAAAAAAAAAAAAAAAAAAAACTATTTATTCACGGAAATATTACGTCCCACAGTTGCTGTTTTTTTTTTAATGTTAAAATTAGGTCGTAGGCCCCAGCACCTGAAACGGTTGTTTTACGATATCTCACCATTTATGTTCTATGCTTTTCTTGAAATATACATATCCTTCTTTGGTGTGTATATCATTTTACAACTATCTGCACATGTACATGTATGTATGCATATGCATACATGTCCACATGTATGCACACTAAACCACTGGATGATGCGGTATAATAGCCAATTCCTTTACGCACCCATTTTGACCCCAACATGCTGATACCAGCATACCAGTACTCACAGCTGAATGGACTGAGAGGGGCGACCGAGTGCGAACCTACCACTACCAGTAAGTTATAACATGTATAAATGTAAACAAACACATGCGTGTAAAAAAAAAAAAAAAAAAAAGCAGTTTGAAATTAAGTGATTCCCACATTACCGCATTACTAACCTGTTCGTCACATCGATCTGTTTTTCATAAGGGGTTAAAATGGTCGCATTTATTATTTTGACAACTTCCAAAACCGATTGTCATATACAGGCGGTATTCCCACGTACCCTATGACGTGTGAGGAACAGTTCCCTGTGTTCCCCGTTACCAATATGAGGCAATTAAGATCCCGGTTGCCTATGATCCCCAGTGTTCATTTCACTCGAAATTGTCCACGATAAAGAGAGAGAGAGAGAGAGAGAGAGAGAGAGAGAGAGAGAGAGAGAGAGAGAGAGAGAGAGAGAGAGAGAGAGAGAGAGAGAGAGAGAGGAGAGAGAGAGAGAGAGAGAGAGAGATGATGAGAAAGAGTGAGAGGGCGAGAGAAAAGCCATTCCACTCGAAATTGTCCACGTTCCCCGTGAAATTCGCTCGTTTTCCATGTCCTAGAGAATTGGCCCTTATACCTAAGCTACATTGATAGATGATTTTGGATTCCTTTACCATTCAGGTACAGGTGAATATAGCATTATTTGTGGAAAATTCGGTGGGTTTAAGTGAATATGTAGTGTGTGTAGTTAGTCTGCCTATGGGGTGGTTGCGAGTTCACTTGTAGGCCTGTAATAGGTTACTTAATTTTAGTCTGTCTGTCTCCCCACTCTCTCTTTCTTTCTCTCTCCTCTCTCGCTCTCCCTCCCTCTGTCTGTGTTTCTCGCCAAGCTGATTCATCCACGCAGCCACGACCAAGCGGGAAGCAGCACCATTGCGCTGACCAATCTCGACATGACCTCACTCGCCCCGACAACCGTGCATCTTGCCGGCCTCTCCTCTTTCGCACCACACCTAAAGGAACGTATTATATATATAAATAAATAAAAACATTTGTGTATATATATATATATATATATATATATATATATATATATATATATATATATATATATATATATACATATATATATATTATATATATAAAACATATAGGTATGTGTATATATATATGTGTGTGTATGTATGTGTGTGTGCGCGTGCGTGTATGTGAATGTTGTATGCATACATACATACATACCAACATATAGATAAATATATATATATATATATATATATATATATATATATAATGTTACAAACAGGTGTATTATAACAATCTGAGTGTGTTTGCGTTCGTGGCGCCGAAAGCCCCGCCAAAATATGTGGACGTTCGGGGCGCCGAAAAGCCCGCCAAAATACGCAGTTGTGTGATTGGCTGCCCGCAAGTGAGACGAGATTCCGGCGCCGTGATTGGCTCCCAGAGGTGAGTGGCGGGCACGTGGAATGCGAGCACGTTCTGGCTGTAGCTGCAACTTGAAACGTATTATTTACTGAAGAAAGTGTCTGTGATTATCCTGCTGTGTTTTAATCAAAGTGGATTTAATGTGCCGGAGCGGTGAGTGTGTATAGGGTGACCGAATTTCATTATGTGACGTTCTTAGAAATAAACTGTGGAATGCTATGTGCTTGTCTTTAAACATCCCCGCTAACATTATTCAATGCCCAGTGTCCGTGAACACTCGTCAAAGGCTGCTCACCGAATCCAGCAGGACAGTAAATGAGTGCAGCACCCTGACAGGTAGTGATTTGTTTTAAGACACTCAGTACTGATGAACCTGTCTGTGTGCATGACCTGTCTACCTGGGTAGAGCGCTGCCCCATCACTGGGCGCTAGGATGAGAAGGTTACGTGACATTGGTGTCAGGAGTGGGATTCAGTTGATAAAAGTAAGTCCTTTATACTGGTGGAACGCAATGGCTGGCAACATGGCGGACGACAGGACAGAAGGCACGCAGGAAATGGCGGGAGAGAAGGTAGTGGTGTCTACAGGAGAGGCAGCAGGCACACCATCCCCACCATCCCCTGTCGCAAAAGGGATGGATTTGGACATAGTTATACGAATGCTGGCACAGGCACGAGAGGCCATAGAACAACAGGCAGCACAGGCCACTGAAGAGAGAGCACAGCAGCAAGCAGCGCAACAGTTACAGGTAACGAGCAAATTAAAGGACGCAACAATGGAAGAGCTGGATACGGTGGAAACACGGGTGAGAGAATATACGAACGATGCTTGTGCTCGTGTGAAGTGGGAGGTGAAAAGGGGTGGAGGACCCACTGGAGGAAATGAGACACCAGCTGACATCAGTGACAAGGGAGGTGGAGGACTATCGGCAAGAGATGACCACGCTTGACGTTACATCGACAATTTAAACATCAGTGCAGGGCCATGTATTGGTTGAGTGTAATGCTGTACCATGGGCTGCACAGGATCAAAACCCGACCGAAGTGGCATCACCTCCCAGGTCTCAACACCACGTGATTGAGGAGAGGGGCTCACCTGTCCCTCCCCTCTTCCCCTCATCACCGCCGAATACAGTGTGCGTTCCTAGGGACCAGTTTGGTATAACGGATGTGGCACGGGCGGCCATAATTGAAAAGCGGCTGGCCGAGTATGATGATAAAGTCTCATGGAATGCGTTTCAAGCCCAGTTTGAGACTGCAGCTAAGAGGCAAAGCTGGAATGATGAAGAAAAGGCATACCAGCTTATCATCAGCCTAAAGGGTGCGGCTGTAAAGGTGTTGGAGTACTTGACTGCCGCCCAAATGCAATCATATGCCTGTATAGTGAGGGCCTTGCAACGCCGATTTGGCCGTCGCCAGCAGCCGGAAGTGTACCGGGCTCAGCTCAAGGCACGGACAAGGAGGCGGGATGAGCCCCTTCCACAATTGGCACAAAATATCGAGGTGCTGGTGCGTGGAGCATATCCAATGACCACAGAAGAGACCATTGACATGCTAGCCAAGGACAGCTTTGTGAACGCACTGAATGACAAACAGCTTTAGGTCCATGTGAAGCAAGCAGGAACGCAGAACATGCAGGAAGCGTTGGCGCGTGCGGCTGAATTTGAGGCTTTCTTGCTCACCACTACTCTGAGTTATCCTACACATCACTACGGGAGAGAGATGGCGAGTAGGGCTGGAGAGTAAAAGGCCATGAGGTGCCTCTAATCCTGGGAGAACATGCCCCAGTGGTACAGGAAGAGCCGAGGCAAGGGAGGACACAGAAGACTGTGAGCAGGCAACATACTCAGAATAAGGCCATGTACGCAGTCACCAAACTCGCATACCCCACTACCACTTCATCCCCTGTGACAACCATTTCTATCACCTCCATCTTCACACAGGATGCCCTAAAGGCACAGGGAGAGGAGGCTAAGCTAGTAGTAGAACGGGAAGTAGTACCAAGCCACCTGGAAGACCTAATTCAATGGAGCGTCAAGTATCTAACTAGTGAGCAGGTAAGAAGAGTGCAGCAGTTGCTCATTTAGTATGCAGATGGGTTTAGCCAGGGAGATATGGACTTGGAACGCACCTCGATGGTGAAACATCTCATCTATACCCGTGATACCTCTCCCATCAAGCAGCCGCACCGTCGACTACCACCAGCAAAGAGAGGAGATGCAGTGCGCAGTACAGGAGATGGCAGAGGCTGGCATTAAAGAACGTTCAAACAGTTTTTGGTGCTCCCCGGTGGTACTAGCGACGAAGAAGGACGGCAGCAAGCGTTTTCGTGTTGACTATCGAGCGCTGAAAGCTGTCACCGTCAGCGATGCCTCTATATTCCTGGGTCATGTGGTGGGCAGGTAAGGAGTGCGGACAGACCTTTTGAAAGTGTCGACAGTGGAGAGCTGGCCAGTGCCAAGGACTGTAGCCGAGCTGAGAAGCTTCTTCGGGACTGTGCACATATTACAGGAGATTTGTGCAAGGCTTTGCCACAATAGCCGCACCATTACATCAGCTAACAAGGAAAGGAGTGACCTTTGTGTGGGGCGAGGCATGCCATCAAGCCTTTGTAGCATTGAAGCGAGCTCTGGTAGAGGCACCAGTATTGCCATACCCGGATCCCAGCCTCCCACACATCCTAGACACAAATGCC